CTTGCCTCCAACAGAAATATGCCAACTGTAATCAGGTCGCTGACCTTGGTTAAGTTAATAGGCGCATCAATACAGTATTGAGTAGGGTCTAATCCAGGTCGTTAATTTCACGGAAAAAGACCATCTCAGGTCGCTCATAGAAAAATGCTCTGCGACCTCCTTGCAGCCAGGTCGGCTTGACCAGGCATCGCTTAGGTTATGTCAAAATGCGACATCTTTACGCAGTTCTCAAGGTTCAATCCTTAAACCTTAAAAAACTAGGGGACTTCTATTATGTCTGAAAAGATAGGGCTGACGCAGAGCCTCATCAGTAAAGTATGGTCAGAGCTCATAAGGGTTATGTGTCATCCAGATGCCGCCACGTCGTGCCTAGCACAAGTGGCATAGCTCCTATCAGTGCAGCAGGTGGGTACCAGGCCAACAAGCAGCTGGAGATCGCCCACGTGTCAAAACCATGTGTTAGTAAAGGAAATCCCTCGGGCAGGTGACCAATGAGACACAGAGAAGGATTTGCATGGCACTTACCCACTTGCAGCTTTCATAATCATTACCTTGAACTCTCCCACTATAAATATAGGACTTCCCTCTCATTTTAGGGGATTAACCAATTTTACGCTTAAATAGCTCTCTCTCTTTCTCTCTCTCTCTCTTGTATTCTCATTCAAACTGTAACTCAGCTCGCTAAATGCGACCTGATTTCTCTCTTACTAACATAATAGTAGTTGATGTAGGATTCGCTTTTGAGCATCCGAGCCACTTTAAACATTGCTCTTCACCTTTTCATTTAATTTGAACTCTTCTTATCACGTGTGACTTCTAAGTCTATTTAGCATTTTACATGTGTGAGTAGTTGGTGTCAAAATCCAGTATCAACAGTTTGGCGCTAGAAGGAGGGCACTGATTTAATACCTACTCTCCATCAGAGAAATCCCTGACTAATCGGTCCCATAACAGCAAATGACCCGCGGCTTTGAATCTGAGCAAACCAGTCATGGTAATGAAGCAATCCCCCAGGTACAGGAGGACATTTCTCCCGAAGTGCTAGCAGTCCAGCAGAATATTGTCGGGGATATTCCTTCAAGCTCACAGCGCGACCCAACTATCATGAGTTACCTGAAATGTTCAATAATACTCTTCAAACGGTCAGCCGAAGGCTAGACCAATTGGATCGGGTCATGCCACCCGAATCCAATGGGCGGTGCCACCGCCAAAAATACCAGCAAGTCGCGTGAAAGCGCGGAAAAGGGCGAAAGCCCATGCCGCACGCACTGCAGCACGTCAGAGAAAGGAAAAGGGCAGATTTTTGGAGATCTTTTGTTTCCTTCTTATCAAAATAGATAGATTTCGAGTTGATAGAACAAACAAAATGAAAGACTTGCGCTGACTTATACACAAAGGAAAATCCTGTGCAATTTCTTTGATGTTCAACGCACGAAGGAAAAATATCTTATCCCTGTATTTTGTTTATTTTAGGAAAGGATAACTTTTTGAAAAAAAAATAGCAAATGCATCCTTTAATTTGGCATAGGCTTGATGATTTTATTGTTTAAGACAAAATATTCTATATAAAAACAAAAATACCCTCAAAGATGTTTACATGTACAGTTAAATAAAGGATATAATGTTAGACATATAAGATTAAGTTGATTTGGTTGATTTTATTTCATTTATTTTATTATTATATAATTAAGGTGATGTTGTTAAATCAAGTGTCATATACGTTCATCCCATATTAAGTTGATATTGTCAAATAACTATTACATAGTTTCATATAAAATTGGGATTGCAACTTTATACACATAATATTATTGTTGAATAAATAGTCCATAAGTAGCTTGGTGTTTAATATGAGGAGAGGACTTAGAAGAACGGAGGAGAAAAGAAAATGTAGAATTTTGTTTGATTTAACATTTACTGATTTCATTAAAATAGTTGCACATTTTTATTTATGGGTTTATAACAATAATCGTTAAGTTTTTGTTGTAAAGATAAAAGGTAAAAGAATAATATAGTAATTATTTATTAACCATCATGTTATAAATTACAATGGTACACTAATGACTTACTATCTCATATTTAAACCTTTGTTTTAAAAACCGGACTGGAGGGTAATCCATTCTGCTGGCCAGGTCACAGTTCAACCGGTCCAACCGGTTGGACTGTCGGTTGGACGGGTGATGTCATCACACATCATGATGATGTCAGCACATTTAAAAAAAAAAAAACTTTTTTAAAAGTTGAGTAATTAAAAGCTGGCCTCCCAACCATTACAACTGATTTCACAGTTACATTGCACCCAGAATATGTTTTACATTAAAACTTCTTTACTTCGGCATTCAGTAATTTCAGCAAACAACTTCTGAACTTTAGTAGACAACTTCATCAAATCACAGGCAAGCAATCTCAGTAAACACAGCTCACTTAACTTCAGTAATTTCAGCAAACACAACCCACATAACTTCAGCAATTTCATCAATCTTCTCCGCAAACAACTTCAGCAGACAATTCACTTTATCAACTAACTTCAGTAACCACAACTCAATTCACTTCAGTAACTAGGGTTCACATGCTACTACAAGAGTTGTTCTTTACTCTCCAGTCTCCACCTCTCCTCTTTGTTGCATTTGCATAATCTAAATACCAATGACGCTTAAGTTATAAAAATTGTAAAACCAATTACATACACACAAGTTGATGAAACAACATTCTCTAAATTATTGATTAGTTACTACATACGAACCCAAATCCTTAACCATACAGGAACGATTCAATGTAATGGTTGCCTCTCCATCATCCGTAATGAAATAAATTAATTCGACAATGTCGGCATGATGACCATAAATCATGTATTATTCAAAAACAACTCCAACAAAATGATTTCGAAGGCATATACATCAGCTTTCTCTATTAAGAGTCCAAAATGGGTATATTCTAGAACTAAATACGTAAATAAAAAGGTGTCATATATATTCAATAGTAAATCATCAAGTAAATGATTGTTGAAAATTCTCAACAAAAAATGTTTTGCTTAAGGTATATTTCTTCATTTATGTTCAAAAACCAAAGAATTGTATCATATCTCAAATTAAATAGGCCCTAGAGCTATATCAGCAAGACTGAGGGAATTTTCATACCCAAATGTGCCTCTTCTACCAACTGTCCATCTGCCAGCAACCTTGCCAAACCAAAATTTCCCACCTGTTTCTGAGAGTGATGATACATAATAATCAATGTTGGTATATGTATTCAGTGTATTTCTTGGAAATTTTCAATTAATCAAAATTAATGAGAAAATATGAATTGCAGAAAATATGGAACTGAACTTTGGTCTGAAGTCATGGGTGAGGAGGATGTTATTAGGTCTAAAATCTCTATGAACAATGAAACATTTCAGATTTCATAGCAAAGATCCCGAAGATTACAACTCACCTTGAATCAAATTGGATTGTTAAGACATGCATGCCAATCAGCCTTCATGCATCGATTTCCGGCGAGGGAGAAACACGTCGTCGATTTTCGGCAAGGGAGGAACGCAAGTTGTCGCGATTTCAGAAACTGGAGTTGCGATTGATTTCAGCAACGAATGGTTGCAATTTCAGCAAGATTCAGTTTTAATTTGTGTGGGATTTCAGATTTTCGCAATTTCATTCAAATTTTTTCAGAGTATTTTGCGCATAGAGGAACTGAGGAAGAAGAAATTGCGCGATGGGGAGAAAGTAAGAAAATTATGGATTTTTTTTGCCCTTTTTAGTGTTGGGCCAGTTTTGCTTGCGGTTCGGTTGGACCGGCGGTCCATTAACGGGTTAAAACGAGCTATTGCATTATACCGGTTTTTATGTTGACTTGAACCAGACACGTGATCGATTCACAGTCCAACCAATTGGACCGGCCGGTCCGGTCTGACTTTTAAAACAGTGATTCAAACACATAAATCAAACTACATGCATTTAAATTTAATAAAAGCACATTAATATAACAAATTCAAATAAGAAACTTAAATGTGGTAATCTAGGTATTAGTCTTTTAGATTAAAAAAGCGAGTAGATTTGTCACTTTCAAAAACCTCTGTGTATTGCAATCGGGAGAACGACTATCCCACCCAAGGTTTGATGAAACAACACTTTCCCACCCATCAAGTTTCAAAATGACACTTTCCCACCCTTCATTAGGTTCTGTTATGTTTTCCGTTAATATTTTATTGAAAAGACGAAAATACCCTAAAATATTTTACTTTATAAATTTTTTATTATTTTTTAATTAGCCAAAAAGTCAAATATTAAAAATTCAAAAAAGAAAAAATAGTTAACCTCACCTTAAAAGTTATAAGTAATGTTATAAAATTGTTTAAAGTTAAATAATCTTAATATTTATTTATAATGTCATCAATATCACATCACTATTATTTATAATGTTTTTCATTTTTACTAATTAACATAAAAAATCAATATTCCTAATTAATTAAATAAATAAAGAAAAAATGTATCTTTATACTTGGACTAATAAATAATCAAATAAAGACTTTGAATTAACTAATTTTAATTTATAATAATATTAACTGAAAACACTAACAGAACCTAACGAATGGTGGGAAAGTGTCATTTTGAAACTTGATGGGTGGGAAAGTGTCGTTTCATCAAACCTTTGGTGGGAAAATGTCGTTCTCCCATTGCAATTAAAGCAAACCTCAAAATTGAAAATGTTTTAATCTCTTAAGATTTAAGAAGGGCTTAATTGTTACTTTTAGATTATATTGTAGTTACGACTACAAATTCTCATGTTAGTCCGCAAACTGCGTCTGGAAAATTTAAATGCTGGGCGGTTGTTTTGTACCGTCCGACGAAACACATCCTATTGGTTAGGCTTTCACGAACGGCCCAGTGTTTTATGAGGGTATTTAATGCCTTAACGATTGTACATAATTTCATATTGAGAATGGAAAATGTGATTACTTAAAAAGAAGACTCCTAGTATGATTAAAAATAAATATATTGCTTCTATCGTAAATGAATGAATACACATCTATACAATGTATGTATATGCCAATGCTACAACTCACAATTGCTTAAAGGAAAGAGCGGCTAAAAAAGCAATTCTAATTCAATAAACAATTGAACACAACAACAACATACCCACAACCAAGTAGTTAAGCTACTCTCCTCACGCAACTCTTTGGAACATGGACATTATGGAAGTGTGGCTCCTTTGGAGTGGTAGGTTTTCTTCTCATTGAGGACGTCGTAGGAGTAAGAGTTTTGTTGACTGCCTGGGAAGCACCATTGTCCATTGGTTTTGCTGCTACCTTGGTTCTAGAGACTGTAGGAGATGATTCCTTTATTACACCAAGTTGACCAGCTGCCAACCGTGAATTAATTGTTTTCTTCTTACTCGATTCAATCCTGCAAAATCAGTGGGTTTAAACTTTAGAGTCTGAAGATCATACATTATTTGTCCGTAGGACAATAGCAATTGCTCACCCTCGAGTCCTTGCCAGCGCTTTCATATATGATAACTTGGTCCTTTTCAAGCTTCCCTCAGATCTTTTAGCCTCTTTATCTTGGCTAAATTCCTTCTCTGAAGCTGCAACCATACGTCTCTGTGGAGTTGTGGATTTTTTTCGTATTGCTCCTTCTGGAGTCTGTATGCCCATTCTTTGCTGCATATCACAATCATTGAGAATTTTAGCCAAATTTCTATATAATCATCCAGGAAGAAGCGCTAATCAAGATATTTGTTTTCCTTTCTTAGGACATAGACTTACAGGTTGATCCTTTTCTGTTGTTCTATCTGGTTCTTTTTCACTGCCTTCATGTCCATCACTGGTACACTCAATTTGTTCAATGCACTTTTCATCTCTCTGTAATCAGAAAAATAAGCGAATAAAAATTAGTCTAGATCTTTTATCGACCATAATGAAAAATCAAATTATTCTCATTTTAAAACTTACTTGGATAACTGCATTCTGAGGTCTCCTCTGCAAGTTTCCACCAGGGGATTTCACAATTTTTGTGATTTCTTTCGGAGGTTCATCACGATGTAGTTTCTTCTCCAAGTTTGCCTCCTTAAGAATTCGTCTTTCCTACAAGAAACAAAATACTATTTAGACACTACTGAAATTTTGTCTTCCAAATCTAGTGACCTTAAAAGATTTGGCATACATCAGTTCTTAGCCTAAATGGCTTGGGATTTGTGAGCTTAGGTTTTCTATAGTTCACCCCTTCAGCACATGCAACAGCAGCAGTGGAGTTCCCTTTAGATGTCTTGCCCATTCCTTTCATTCGCTGCATTGTTTACATACATATTTGGAAATTAGAAACTAAAATGAAGGCAAAGGACTTAGAAATACACATGACAAGAACAAATATGTATTCTAGCAAAGAACCCCACCATTCGAGTGCTTCTCTGCTCTTCATGAATGCCAAGAGTTTTCTTCTTTTCCATATGGCTGGATTTTAGATCCATTTTTCTGCAAACATTTCACATAAATAGTGATTATTAGTTGTTAAAGTGTCAAGCGCATAACGACAAGAACATAAAAAATCGAGAAGAGTTTTTCACCTGTTACCATCAGAAGATGAAGCATTTTCCTTGTCATCACAGTTGTTCATGACTTCACCCGCATTTTCCTTGTTATCACAGTTGCGCATGACTTCACCTGTATTTTCTTTATCATCAGATGCATTTTCATTTTCATCATTCTTAATGACTCCAGGCATGACCCTCTTCTCCAGAGTTGGTTTAATTTGGTTGTTCTCCACACTGCTTCCTTCGTTTGTCTTACTGTCCTCTTCACTTGGAACTGGGAAGTCTGCAATATCATGTTCTCCTTTATCCCTCTCTCCACAATTTGAAAGAGAGGTTGTATCACCTGTTGAGGCGTCTGATAAAGCTTCGCCTTCGTTCTCAACCTTCAGAGTTACTAAACATTCCTTGTCTTTATTGCTTTCATTAGTCTTACAAGTACCTGATGTCGAGCATACTTCAAGAGAACCATTTCTCGATTTCCCTTCAATCTCCATGTCACTGGAGTCATTTTCAGTCTCTTCACCGGGAGCAGTACAGCAAGCCTGCAGTAAATCCTTCTCCTTATCCTTTTTCTTCAAACATTTTGCAGATTTGGCCTCCTTTGACCGGCAATTTTGGGAGCGCAGGGAATCATAGACCCGGCTTTTGACCTCTCGGCCTCTAAATTGTTTTCTTGAAGCATCTACAGGCAGTGGTTTATTACAGTTAGATAGATTCTTCTTTCCACTAGTGATTTCAAGCTTCTTCATCCCTGCACATATTGTCCTCATACGACTACTCAACTCTGCAGAAGTCTTTATCCTGACTGTCTTCTTTGGTGAATGAAATACCAGAGCCTTGGCCACAATTCTATTCTTTGGAACTGCAATGGTTGTTGGTTTTGGATTTCTAACAGTATGAAATGTACCATGATTCGAGAGGCGTTTTTTGTTCCGTGGACTGGTCAGACACTTGGCTAAAACAGATGATTGTTTTTCCTTCCCCATTGGCGTTCCACCATGCTTAGGAAGAGCTCTGCCTTTGACTTTACCATCAACCATCTTTTGAGATATGGAGGAGATCAGCGCCAATCTTGACACTCTAGACCTCGAAGGTTTTGCTGGAACTGTAAGCGGACATTTCGCATTTGCACTACAAATTTAAATAAACATAACAATGTTATTTCAACCTCAACATAATTATGCAAACTACAATCAACTTCCATGAGGGGTTGAACTCCGATCCTCAAGTTTACAACTCATCCCACATTCAATTTCAATCATTAAAACAACCTTGCACAGCTTAGAAACAACTAAAGGGCATAAAGAAATTTCCCAAAATACCTTGATTTTTTTCCATAGAGTGCTTTCCGAAGCCGAACATTTGGACTCCTTGCAGCCATGACCTGCACAAACATTAATTACTATCATTTACCCATTTCAATTTAGAGAATGAAACAAATAATAATAATAATAATAAACTAACCCGAAGAACAAAATTCTTGTAGATCGCTTCAGAATCCATTTCTTCTTCATGCTTTTGGTCACAACCTAAGGTTCAATTAACAAAAATTTAAAAACTCAAACTGCTACGATGTCGTATTTACCAACAAAGCTCGAAATTAGCATTCAAAAAAAAAAACCTAAAATGGAAACAAAAACCCTAATATAATTGAGAAAAAAAAGGGAGAGTAGAGTTACTAACCGACACGGAGGCAAAACCAGTAGCGATCTTCGATTGAAGAACGGTGGCGATCAGGTGCGGTGAGGTCCACGAACTTGGGGGCTTCAATCTTCTCGTAGAAGTCGTCTCCGAGAGATTGTGCGCCCTCAATCTGGATCTCTTCGTCCATGGCGTAAAGAAAGAAAGCGAAAGAGGGCTTGATGAAGGAGCGTGAGTGAGAAGTGGTACTGGTTTTGGCTATGGTGAATGAGTGAGAGTGAGGCAACCGAGGACATTTTTAAATCCGTTGAAGACGAAGTAGCCGTTAGACAGAAGGTGTATTATTTGGACAAATATTTTATTATTGTCGGAGAAATGGGCCTCTGGGCCGGGCCGGACTGGAATGCGAGGTATTGCGTTAACTTTGGACCTGATATAAATACTACCACATTTTTACAACTTTATGACCCAATCCATTTTATAGGAAGTTAAATAAGAGATATTTTTATAATTAAAGTAATATTACCAAATCAATTATCACATAAATTCGGATATAAAGTCCCAACTTTCTATATATCGTATTATTATTATTATTATTATTTTCTTTTATGAGAGAATATTTCATAATAAATTTACAACAAATAATCATAAGACAGGTTGTATGTCTTACATGTTGATGTTATAAAAAAACTTTCTTATAAGAGATCCGAATATGTTAGGAAAGAGAATGAGATTTTGATTTATCTACTTTGAATAACAAATATTGAGATGACGGAACGATAATTATGACACGTGAACAAAGAATATCCTCAAGTAAGTTTGATATTTTTCATGTTTACTTTACCACAAATAGAATCTATTAAATTTATTTAGACAAAAATTACCTTGTTATTAAAATATTTAAATTAAAATTAAGAATTATAACTAAAACTAAACTATTATATTTAATTTTCTATGTTTTAATTTACTGATACAATATTAATATGTAAAACCTTATAAATTAATACTGTATAGAAACAAATTAATTGCCATAGATAATAATGCGAAATATCAGACAAATAAGCTAAACTCTAATTTGTTCATTATTAAATTAAATAATACTATAGATCTAACTTATTAAATATTAAATGGTTTATAATTTAATTACCTTTGATTAACCGATGAAGAAATTAATAATAAGAGTTAATGACTTCTTCCCACCCAAATAATAGTTTAATGACACTTTCTTACTCATAAATTTTTAAAATACCACTTTACTACCCAGATTTATATTCTAATGGTGAATAGAGAACTAACTCGACCCAGGTTGTTGGGGCTTTTAGGAGTCCGATAAGTCTTTTGATGGTGGAAACAATGCTTTAAAAACCAACCCGAGACAAAACTTGGCAAGGTGGTCGGGTCTTGGGTCGACCGGTTTAACCAGTTGATTCAACCGATGATGTCATTATGCTGACATCAGCAACATTATTGTTCACAGAATGCTAATTTCCAAAATTTGGCTCTAGATCATAAACTCCAAAATAAAAAGTCTCTAGCAAAGCATCATCAAACATCATTACATCAATAATACAACAAATTACAAATCAAAATAACAAAATGAATGAAGAAAAATCACATAATAGTTGTTTCAACTTTCAAGTCAACACTTCAACATTCTAACAAAAAATGATCTTCACCCAATGGTCTTCAATCCATCATTCCATCCTCAATTAAAATTCATAATTCACACACTACCTGATAGATGATAGTCATCATTATTAACATCAACGACATCATCTACAAAAAATTCTAGCAAAAAAGGAAAACCATAAGTTAAATCTTCCCATTTAAACTAATTGAATATAAACTAGCTAATACCAAATTGAAATTGCTTAAAAAATTGTAAACAACCTTCTGAAGCATCTGTTGAGTCATAATAAGAAGGGTGATCACTACCATCTACAGGAATAGCTCATTCTACATATAATGATTGTTCCAATTCATCATAATTAAGCTCACCAACCTCCTCTTCCTCATCAACTATCCACTATTCAGTTTTATCAATACTCTCATAAACAATAGGATCATATGTAATTTTCTTGTAACAACTCCTGAAATAGCATAATTAAATATTCAAATCATGACCAATAAAGACATCAATGAAAATAACAAAATGAAGAAGGCTTTATACCTATTTTGCAAACGCAAGTTGTAATGAGTGAAAACCAAATAATTCAACCGTGGATGCTCCAATTTGTTCCTTTTTTTAGTATGTATGCGTTCAAAAACACTCCACTTTCTCTGACATCTAGAAGATGCCGAAGTTTGACTTAGAATTTTAATTGCAAACTTTTGCAAATTTGGAGCACTAAACCCAAATGTCCCACACCATTCATCTAATTGAGAATAAAAGTATAAATTACATAAGAAATAAACACAATTTCATAACTTAAAAATTAGACTTAAAAAGTTAATAACTATTACATACCCGGCCATGTAGTTTTGCAAGTTTGAAGAGCAAGTTCACGAGAAAAGCTTTCTAGACAGTCTAGATATAATCTACTCTTCTCCAGTAACGTTGTCTTGCTCATTTTGAATGCACTTGCTTTATTGTTAATAGTGTCAAGGAAACCATACATGACCTCAGGTTTTCTGGAAAAAGTATCTTCGTCATATTTAAAAGCAGGATTCAAATAATATGTTGCTGCATGAATATCATAGCGCAACATCATATCCCAACGCATCTTAATAATTGTTGTATAAGGCTTCTACAAATTTTTCTTGTTCTTAAACAACTTCTTGATCCCCATCCTCGTTTTGTACATGCCATCATACACATATCCTATTGAAGGCCTCTCATCCGAGTCTACAATTCGGAGCATACGCATCAATGGACTCACAACTTTGGAAATTATACCAATGTCATCCCAAAACTGGCTATCTAGAACTATGGAAATAAAGGTTTTGCCTTTATTAGTTTTTGCATATCGAGACTCCACAAAAGTTGTATCTGTCATTGTAGATTGCAAGTCATGTTTGTGCTGATGTAGGCTGCTCAATGCAACGAAAGTTGTGGCAAAACGGGTTGCACATGGGCGTATAATTTCTGTCCAACCCTAATCAAGTGATAGACAATAGATGTTAGTACTTAGTAAATTATTAAAAAATTTACATATATAATATGTCTTGACAATGTAAATTATAAACATATGAGGTAAAGGTATATAACCTGTTTTTTCCTCAGCGAAGCTAGCACAAAGGAATGATTATACACAAACTTTGTAACCTCAGATGCACGTGTCAAAAGGTTGACTATATGACTCATCTCAGCTATGTCTTTCAACATCAAATTAATGCAATGTGCTGCACAAGGAGACCAAGGAATACTACTATATTTTTCAGACAACATTCTTTCAACAGCTTTATAATTTGCTCCATTGTCAGTGACAAGATAGACAATATTGTCTGGTCCAACCCATAAAGCTATTTCCTCAAACAAGCTGAACAATGTTGCAGCATCCTTTACAACATCTGAAGCATCCACTGATTTCACAGAACACACTCCTTTAGGACAGTACACTAGAAAATCAAACAGCGACCTATGTGAATTATTTGTTCAACCATTAGCCATTAAAGTACATCCAACATCCTCCCAAGTTTTCTTGTAACCATCAACAAGTAATTGCACTTCTTCCCTAGCATCTCTCAATAAATTTACACGCAAATTATGATAAGTTGGGATTTTATACCCAGGACCAATTGCAGCTATAGCATCCGCCATAGGTTGAAAATAAATTGAATTAATAACATTAGTTAGGATGCAAGAATTATAAAATAACCTTGCAACAGCCATGTCTGCTCTCCACTTAGCTTCCTTTTCGGCTAAAACACTCTTAATTGAGGGTTGAGACCCATACTTAGTCCTCGGAGCAAAATAGTCACTTATCCCAATAGATATTTTTCTCCTAGCACTTGAAGTTGGAGTTGGAGTTGGACATGGAAAACCTCTTCACACTCGTGATCTTCGTCTAACATATCACCCTCAAATTGTTGTACACTAGCTCCATAAGGATTGACATTCTTACAAAGTTCAACTTTTTGTTTATTCTTGGTCCCAATTTCATTTAGTGCTTCTTCAATCTTGAATTTAATATCGAAAAGAACTTTAGGGCACTTTCCAACTTCTCCCTTTGTACCCGCTAGATGCAATTTCACTCGATAAATTCCTCCACCTTTGATTATCTTGCCACAATAAAGACATGTTAATATCTTCTTCCCATTTTCATCCACGCCCTCATTAACATGTCCCCATGCTATATCATTTCTTCCTCGAAAAGTTTATGAAACATCCACGGAAGCAGATTGTTGACAAGACCCAGATGATGACATATTCTTTGTCTTTAATTTTGATCTCTACTCTGGCGACACAAATCACAAATAAGGTTGCTAGGATAGCACACAGCAGTGTTCGGATTATAAAAGCATTATATTCCCTCTAAGCATTCAGTGCTAATTTTCTGAATTATTATTCCTTTTTGTGTAAATATATAAATTTAGACAGCATCAGAAGTCAATCTAATAATTAAGCATGCATGATCGCTGTAATCTACAACTTTATGTTACTAAACTACTTGCAAATTATGTCTTTGATCTTCAGTAGTATTTAATCGCTTATGCAATTTTGGAAAAATTAGATTGGAAGGCACGCGCATATCTTGTGAAGCTTTTGAAGCATCTGAAGAAAGAATTAACTATACTTGTTGTTAGCCATGATCTCAAGTAAGTTTGCATTTTTTAATTTTGTCTTTTATCTTTTATGGGGATATATTGTAGTTTTCATCATGGTTGTTAGTATCCTACGATATGCGATACGTATCATATGATACGATTTGATACGAGTCGTCAACGATACGTATCAGAGAGTATATCCTAAACCTTTCAATACGTTGATATGTATCCTATTAGATTTTGATGGTTGAAATAATTCATATAGGTCGCTGATTAATTTTCTATTGTACTGTCCTAAAGGAGTGTGTTTTATGAAATTAGTAAATGCTTCAGATGTTGTGAAGGATGTTGCAACATTGTTCAGCTTGTTTGAGGAAATAGTTTTTATGGGTTGGACCAAACAATATTTTCCAACTTGTCATTGACAATTGAGCAAATTATAAAGCTATTGGAAGAATTTTGTCTGAAAAATATAGCAGTATTACTTGGTCTCCTTGTGTTGCACATTGCATTAATTTGATGTTGAAAGACATAGCTGAGATAAG